AAGGTCGTGGTCTCGGTATACTGTGTACTTTTACTAAGGTCGTGTACTCGGTATACTGTGTACTTTTACTAAGGTCGTGTACTCTGTTTACTGTGTACTTTTACTAAGGTTGTGCACAGAGTATACTGTGTACTGTTACTAAGGTCATGTACAGAGTATAGTCCTCTTTATGTGAAACTGTGCGAGTGCCTCTCTTGCAAAGTCTGATGAGGAGGAAGAGGATGAGGAGGAAGAGGATGAGGAGGAGAACGAGGAAGTTCCACTCCAGCAGCTCCTCAGAGTCTGACGCTCCGTAGCGTGGAAGTTCCCAGCAGTCCACAAGATGGCGGCCTGAGAACGTGTGTAAACTTTGTGTTGACCTTCTTTACTCTAAAGGTTGTAGACAACCAAAAGTTTTGGAGGACAACCAGATTCTGTCCAGGTTTTCTGCTGGACCACCTGGAACGTGTCCTCGTGTCTTCCCTTGTTAAGCATGTTGTCTTTTTTATTTTTCAGAAAACAGCTAAACTGTTTCTTCTAATAGTTGTTTTTGTGCTTTAGTGTAGGATCCAGCTTGTGTGTGATATTGAGGTTTGGATTTTAGAAGTGCGACTTCATTTAGCCACAGTTTTTCTGTAGCTTTGCTTCCACCGTGTGGACGATCAGCTGAACATGAACTCAGAAACTAAAACATCTGGATTTTTGAAGTCCGACGAGATGTAAACATACCGGTGGCATCTCACTGAGCTGCGACTGTTGGGAAACAAAAAAATACACGAATTCACAACGTTTAGTGTTTGTGACCGTCTAGTCATGTGACCAGCTTTTATATATTGAGGCTTGTTTTTTGTGCACAGTTAAACCAAACTATTTGTGACTGCGCACATTTTGTTGCCCAGCTCCGCCTACATCGTACCTCACATTGTTCCCACTTTGGCAGCCGCTCTCACATTTATGAATGAATCTACTAGAGTTTAAAATGAAGACGGGCAGATTTGAATCACTTTTTAATATTTATTTTTTAAATCATCGGTGGGGTTTTTAGACCTATACATGAACCTCGGGTGTTTTCTGTCAGAGGAGAGGCAGGAGTCAAAGACCAGGTGCAGACGCCAAGAGACAAATAATTTTTTTGAAATGTTTAAAGTTCAAGCGACGGGGCTGAACATTTCAGTAACTCGTGTGAGAACCCGGCAAAACTTGCAAGACATTCTGGTGACGTTAGTGAGACTCTCCTGAATGTTGTTGGCCGAACCTCACCATGAAACCTCTGTGGTCTGTACCATGTGCGATACTAATTATTTGTAACTAATCTCACAAACCTTTGCAAACGTAACCTTATTTAAATATCATTAAAATTGCCCGTTTAGGAACGTACAGACATGTATTTTGTGTTCTTGTTAAATTACCCGGCTCTTTGTATGAAGTTTAACTGTAATCCACACATTTGTGTATTTTATGGGTTTTTGTACATTGTTGAAAATATCTCAGGAGAAATGTTAAAAAAAAAAAAAAATTGTATTCTCTGTTCAGGAGCTGCGGGTGATCCCTTGTGCTCACAGATTTCATAAAAAGTGTGTGGACCCCTGGCTGCTGCAGCATCACACCTGCCCCCACTGCAGACACAACATCATAGGTGAGTTGGACTCATCCGTTCACCTAAAACAATAAAAACGAGCTTTAGGTATTATGAACGTGTCTGGTGGACGTTGATCGTGTTTCATGTTTCTACCGTAGAGCAAAAGAAGGGGAATCCAGGACCAGCGTGTATAGACCCTGGTAGTGCGATCCACGGCAGGCAGCGGGTGGTTCTCCCAGTCCATTATCCTGGCAGGGTGCACCGAGCTGGCCAGGTGACGGCCTACCCAACCAGAACCAGCATGGACCCCCATGGCAACCCCATCACTGTTCTCACAGTGGACCAGCACCCAGATCCTCAAGGTCTGTACCCACCCCAATCAGCGTCTGCCTTTCTACGGAGCTACCACCCCACCCTCCATCTGGAGCATTCACTCAACCCCCACCACTGCAGACTGGAGCACCGTGGACCCCCTGCCTACCCCGCTCAGCCGCATCACGCTGCTTTTAAACGACCCAAGTTCCATGGACGCAGCTTCTCCCGGGCGGCTTGTTTTTCCCAGTACGAGACCATGTACCAGCACTACTACTTCCAGGGCTTATCTTTCCCTCAGCAGCCTGAAGGAGGCCAGGGGCCCACTGTGCCAGGGCAACTTGGCGGAGTGGGGGGGGTCCACAAGGGCCACCACAGCAGAGCATTTCAGCAAGGACTCTTATACCCCACGGTGGTGCACATGGCACCTCCCTCCTCTTCCAGAATAGGAGACAGCGGCAGCACTTCTGGCCTGAGCTGTTACCACGGTCACCGCTCGGTGTGCAGCGGTTACCTGGCTGACTGTCCCGGCAGTGACAGCAGCAGCAGCAGCTCCGGACAGTGTCACTGTTCCTCCAGCGACTCCATGTTGGACTGTACTGAAGTCAGCAACCAGGGGGTGTACGGAAGCTGCTCCACTTTCCGCAGCTCGCTGAGCAGCGACTATGACCCCTACGTGTACCGGAGTAAAAGCCCTTGTAGGGGCTCCACTGGGGAAGCGGGGACTGCAGCTTGCACGACAGTTCCTGCTGAGGACTCGGCAATCCCCACGTCTTTGGGACACGACTGCCTCCAGCTGCCTTCAGGAGCATCAGGATACAGCTCGGGGGAACACCACTCCAACTGCAGTTTGGAGCCCAACTATAGCAGTCGTTCATCACTGGAACCCAGAGAGAACAGCAGCACTACCTCAGCTGGGGCTCCGGAGGCCGCTGCAGCCGACAGGGTGAAGGGAGTCCTAGAGGAGTCGGGGGAACTAGGGGCTGCGGCCTGTAGCTGCTGTTTCGAGGTTATTCCTCCCAGTGCCGAGTGCAAAGGGCAGGACTTGGACCAAGCTGGGCCTGTAGCCTCAGGACGCTGTCAAAGGGGGGTAGACTTTCAGAGCGCCGCCTCCAAGAACTACTTTGTTCCGGAGCACCTGTGTCCTCCGTCAGAGCAGGTGAGCTATGAAGGGCTGCCTTGCTGCTTCTACAAAGAGATGAAGGTCCACAGGGCCACGCCGGGACATTTCACCGAGGACTACGCTGTCAACGTACAGTATGCACACGCAGACTCCGAGGCCTGCTCTGGACAGGGCTGCTGCGAACTTAACCACAGAATACCCATAATTCCCGAGGACACAAGCTGTGAACTAGGCTCGGGGGCAGAGACCCAGAGCAGTTTATTACCCGTCAGCATCACGATGGAGTCGGAGTTGCGGACAGGGGAGCAACACGAGCTTAAGGAGAGGTACTTCCCCTCGGGACAGCTGAGAGGTCAGGCGGAGGAGACCAGAGCTTTGTTCCACTCTCAGCTCCCTGCAAGCCCACCTGCACTGGGAACCAGTACTTCAAGAAACGAGGGAGATCTGAGCTTATGAGTCTAGAAGGAAGTGTGGTACGGTGTCAGCCGTTTGTTGAAACCCTGAGTTGCCTTGTTCTGACCGTGCTCCCTGAGCGCTGAATGTTTTCATCTTAGATTGTGTGGTTTTCTACTGAAAGGGCCTGATTTTTCTAGATGAGCAGTTTCACATTCATTCCTGTGGCCACCAACATCTCTAGATACAATAAAATGGTTAGTCGTTACCGCAGCGGACGTTAAGCAGAGTCTAGCTGTCGTGGACGGGTTCGTATTCTGAGCCCTGTTTTCAAATTTATAAATATTTTAGTGAAAGCCGGAGGAATTTTGAGTTCCTGACAAAAGCAGACTCTTTATTCACTCGTGTGCACATTTACATTTTACGCGTGCATATAAACACTGACTGCCTGTAAAGCTTCAACCACCAACTAAAATGATTACAGATGCAAAAAAAAGTGTTTTTACCTTTTTTGTTAATTACTTTTATACTGAAAACCAACTAATGAAAATCAAATGGCTGGCCGTGACAAAGAATGGCGCCGCGCCCTTAACGTAATGTTTTTGTGCACATTCTTTGAGGCAGTCGAGCAGTTTTTGTAACTCTGGTCCACGTGTACTTCTGCCTCCCCCTCAAGAGTAAACTGCTCCAGCTGTGTCAGGTTTGAAGGACTTCTTCTCCAGACTGCATGTTGAAGATGTTCAACAGGATTTAGATCAGGGATCTTTGAAGGGCCGGTGTTTTGTTCTCAGCCGTTCTTGGCGTCATTGTTGGAAAACCCTTGACCTGAGACTGAGACCAGGTTTTCCAACATTAGACGGCACTTTTGTTCCAGAATGCCTTGATGGTCTTGAGATTTTCTTGTGCCCTGCACAGATTAGGAACATTCTGCTCCAGATGCAGCCCCAGAACGTAACCGAGCCTCCTCCACTGGTCACTTCAGGTTCATTCCCTTTTCATGTTTGGGTCCGTGAACATGGGGCTGATGGGACTTGTTGCCAAGAAGCTCCAGTTTTATCTCACCAGTCCGAAAGAAGTTCTCCCAGATGTTTTGTGGCTTGTCACCATGCATTGTGGCAAATTCCAGCCTTGCTTTTTTTATGATTTGGTGTCCTCCACGGTCATCTTCTGTTAAGTCCACTTTGGTACCTTGACCTTGGAGTTCACCTCTAATCTTTCTGGAAGTTGTTCTGAGCTCTGATGCATGCTCAATAATCCAGATAGAACAATCTAAAATAGTGAAGCCAGGTCCACTGGACGGCTTCTTCTTGTTGAAACTCTTTTATCTAAAGGACTTCTTCAGTCTGAGGAGCTGCAAAGATGAAACGTTTCTACAAGAAGAATCCATCCAGAGGACCTGGCATCAATTTTTTAGATTGTTCTGGGCTCGTTCGTTACCAGTCATATCATTCATCTCTTCGATTTGTCATTTTTGGCCACGTCCAGAGGTTAGTTACAGTCCTGTGGACCTCAACCTTCTAAATAAATACAGCTGTAGTCACAGGAACACCAAGCTGATGGGACATTTTAGCTTGCAGCTAGGGATGCACGGTTTTATTGGCATGGTGTCGATATCGGCCGATATTAGCGATAAAGTTAAATATCGGGCATTCCATCAAAATAACTCCCAATATATAAAAAATAATTATATATAAATATATATGCGTTATGGTAAATGTCATGAATAAATTTGACATTAAACATAATCCAAGTCGAAGTGTTGCATCATTTTCAGTCCCCTTTTTAGCATCTGCATTTGGTAGCAGGCCAAATTGACAAAGACCGTGCAGAATAATATATTTTAATTCCACAGCAGAGAAAACTATGTAGTCTGTGTCAGTAGGTCTAGGAAAAAAAAAATATCGGTATTGATATCGGCCAAAAATCCAATTTCGTGCATCCCTACTTATAGCCTTTATGTTTAACCAGCCTGTCAATAATTTCCTTTTAAAGTTCCTGATACAACTCTGTCCTTGGCTGTCTGTCGTCCAATAGGATGGTTTTTAAATAATTTTGTTGAACTAAAATTCAAAAGCGACGACTGAATTTCAATGTTTTTTTTCCTTCGCAAGTTATTTCCGTGATAAATTTAGAGGTTTTCTCTTTAACAAAAAAAGTACAAACACTTTTTTTTAATCTGCGTCTGTAAATGGATATAGCTATACCAAAACAGAAAGACATGATTGTTGTTTTTATATTTGAAAAGCAGGAGGATGCGTCTCTGGCTGTGACGTACGGGGGAGAATAAAAACTAGAGAAGAGCGCAGAAATGTGAATGCAAGGCTGACGCTGGTCTCCGATCAATACGCAGGATCTGTACTTCATTTCAGTCCATCGTGGCCTCGAGTAGAGGACGAGCTACAGCAGAGCCTTATTTTAGTAAGATATTAACAGCAATATGAAACGACACCGCACAGCTTCTGGTCACCTTTCAGACCAAACCAAGTGTCTTTCAGGGTTTGGAAACCCTTAAAGTGTATTTTTGCCGTCAGATAAGCAGCTTCCTCTATGAGGCATGCTCTTTTATCAACAGAGGTTCTAGTTTGTATCTAAAGGCCAAAGGAAAGTAGCTGAAACTATTTCATAAGGGTTCCTTATTGTACTGTGACTTTATTTTTGATTTTGAAACGATGCAGTTAGACATACCGCAGCGTATCGGTCTGGATCGTAACGTTCAGAATACACCCACGCAATATCAACGCTCGTCATTCACGCCTTTCTGTTTGTATTGCAGACTGTTTTTTTTTATACTGTTTCTATGAAATATCCACGTTCTCTGCGCAGAGGAAAACATGAAATAACTATTTATAAGTTAACCCAATGCTGTAATCAAGTCAGAATCTAATCTTGCCTTTGCATAGAGATGTACCTACTGCAAATATAACATTTTCGGGGTACTTGAGTCACTATTTAATTTTATCTGTTGTTTCTAGCACTTAAGATAAAGATGTGTACAAAAATGTAATATTTTTTAATTGTCTAAAAATAATTATTTTCTGTCATACCATTACAAATGTTTAAAAAAAGAAAAGAAGCTAGAAATGGATCTGTGTATATTCTGTACCTGTATAGCAAACATTTCATAAATGGAACTATGTTCTCTGAATATTTATTTGCTAATATATTTATCTTTAAGCCATGTCTTATGTTCAGAGTGTATGAGTTGTTTGGTTGCTTTTTCTTCTCAGAGAAGTCACTAACATGAGACTTTGTATATACATGGTAATTGCACACAAAACCATTAAATCTACTCTGACCAAAAAACAACTGATTTTAAGACTTTAGTACTATACGGTTTTGTAATTAAGGTGTACAAAGATCTGTAAAATATACAGTTTCATCCAAGTAACTATGTTCTGTCCTGGTTTTTACTGGCTCTTTAAGGTAAATTAGATCAGACTCGCTTGAGATTTACCTTCAAATTTTATTAAACAAGATTCAAATAACAAAAATATCAATAACAGCTGAGTAGTAATATTGTTTTGAGTCGTTTGTACAATTAAAAGTGCCGTTCCATAAAGATCGCTTTAACAGGTTATTCAATAAATACGCTCCACTGACCTTTGACCCACGCTTTGCTCAGTGGCGGCTCTGAGGCGTCGTGTTTGAAATAAAAGTTTTAAACAAAGAGCTCGAGTCCGTTTCCCCTCAGGGTTTGCACGGTGCATCAGCGCGCAGCTCACAGCTTGAAACCGGAGTGAAGAGCCACCACGCCGGCGGAGAGGTTGGAGTACTGCACGCAGCAGAAACCAGCATCCTCCATCATGCTTTTGAACTCCTCCTGCAGAAAGACGGGAGGAGGAGCCGATGAACAGGGAACGTTAAAACGTGACGCAACACACAACGTTAGCAACGAGATCAAACGCCACGTCGTTTAATTCCTGACTCAGTGGAGCAACCTCAACAAGTCAAAGTCACTGGTTGAGCAGAGAAACTTGAAGATAATTACCAATAAATCAACTTGTTCATTTTATTTTAGAGCTACCATATTCAATTTTTATTTTATTTAACCTTCATTTATACAGGTGGTCTCATTGAGTGGCGAGGACTCATTTTCAAGAGACGCAACGAGTCAGACGAGGGTGGACAGTGGCTGTTTCACCTTCTCCACACACATTTTGATGTCGTCGGTCCGGGGAGTCGAACCGGCAACTTTCCAATCACAGGCCCACCTCTGCTCCACCACTCCACTATTTAAGATACTTACTGTCCACTGTGTTAAAAACTACTCGAATACTACATGTTAAACAAATTTATAGTGTCATTTAGTAACAAGTAAATTGGACTAAGGTGTAACAAATTAAAAAGTTCAATAAAACCTGTTTTACCTTCAGCTGGAACATTCACAAAATGATAAAAAGAAAAACGCATCAGTGAATATGATCACACAGGTCTGTGTATGATCCAGAGACATGTATTTTATAAATATATATATATAAAAAAGAAAAAGTAAACTTGCGTTACCTGATGTGGAAACTTGCGAATGCTCTCCACTAAATACTGGTAAGACTTCCAGTCTCCAGCGATCACCTCTCCTAAAACTGGGATCACCTGGAAACTGTAGGTGTCGTAAAGGCTGCAAAGAGGAACATGTGTGTGTACATACACACACACGTTAAGTTAATCTTAATATTCTAGGGGAAGTCGTTGTTTTATATCAGATTATCTATGAAACTGAGACGTACCAAGATAATCTTAAAGCAAAACAAAAGTTACTGAGGAATTGGGAGTTTCAAAATATAAACAACGTGAATGAACTCCTGCAGCACATAATGTGTTGTTGCATTCAATAAAACACAATAAGCATGTGCACATGCATACATCTGATCAATAATATTGATGCCAGACAGAAATTTGAGATACAGTAGTCCCTCACTACGTCACGGTTCGTTTTTCGTGGACTCGCTCTATCGCGGTTTTTCCAAAGTTAACAATGGACATGACGCACAGTTGTCTGATTGATGAATGAGCCGCACGATTGGCATGAAATTTTTATTTAAAATAAATCATTTTAAATTATTTAGCACCTGCTGCATCTTTGTGCAGCCCACACTGCAAGATAAGCTTCCTCCTGCAGCTGATCAGCTGATCTCCATGCAGAGCGGAGAAGTGGGCGTGGCCAAGAGTGCTCGCAGGTGGCAAAGAGCAGCGGAGGCAGTTTTCCACTTATCGCGGGGCTTCAGGGTACGGATCCCCACGATAAACGAGGAACTACTGTAATCCCAATATTGGGATCAAATTAAAGACATTTTTGACCTTCCAGTTGAATAAAACTCATTCTGCCCGGTTGTACCTGCGCATTAATAACATTGAAGCTAAATAAAAATGCATCACTAAAAAGAACATTAAATCATAAGTTGATCATAACTCTATTAACCAATGTGCACCCTTCCAAATCCAACTGAACGCATGTTTTTATTTCTTGGAGTTATGAAGCTAAATAAATGTATACAAATCTAAAAATGTGTCAAAATGTTCACATCTGCTTGTTAATGAGGCTTAAAGTGAACAGCTCACCTGCCTCCACCTGTTGAGGCTTTTAACTTTACTTCTCTACAACTCGTAATTCTCTGGATGCTCGGCCGCATTTTTGTGCTGAACGTTCCCACTCACCTCGACAAAACAGGATTTGTCACTTTGCTGAACTCCAAGCACATAAACCTGCCGCCAGGTGTCAGAACCCGCAGAGCCTCCTTAAGGACCTAAAAAACAGCGATTGCAAATATTAGTCATTGATCACAGATTTGTCAACTGAAGCATTTTTTTTTAATAGATGCACATCATTTGTTTTATTTTGTATGAAATAAAATATGACACTAAACTATTTGTTTTTCTTTCGGCTGCTCCATTCTGTGGGGGTCATCACAGCGAGTGGACTGCCACGAAACAATTAACTGTTGATAACCCCAAACTAAACTATTTATTCAAGAAATGTACAGTCACAGCAAACCACACAGACAATCAGCTCCTTTTTTTAAACTGTCACGATGTTCTGTTACAAGCAGCACCAAGCCGACCTTCTGGCATCGTCTTGTATCGTGCAGGTTCCTCCCTGAAGAAAACGTTGCTTTGTTTATCCCATAGCAGCAGCAGTTCCTGTCAGTTACCTGATCTATACGGGTGACGTTTCGGATGCCAAAGGCGATGGTGTAAATATCAAACTGGTCATCATCAAAGGGCAGCTCCTCTGCATCTCCCACCACCCACGACAGACCTGACACACATGAGCAAAACAAAAAGAGACCAGCTTTAAATTAGTCTGCTCACGTCTCGAGTCTTACACCTAGTCTGGCAAAGAGTTAAATGAAATGTTGATATAATTGTAGTACCATATTTGTCGCCGTATAAGTCACACATTTTTGCATAAAATAGCACGCCTGCGATTTATACAGCGAAGCAACGTATTTATGTTTTTTCCCCATATTTATAACAATTTTTGGCTGAGATCTGACGATTTCATTCATTCTGATATTGAAAATATTGAACACTACCCAACAATTTTCAGTCAGGTCATCTGGACAGTTTTTCTTCTTTTTGTGATGAAACATTTCACCTTCCATCCAGAAGGCTTCATCAGTCAAGGAATCACACAACACAAAACTGATTCTTCCCCCAACAGCTTACTCCAAAGTGGAACAAACCAGTTATGTTGGTGATAAGACGGTCTCTTTGAACACTACCATTTTCAGCCACTAGAGGGCCCTCAACTAACCTGTCAAGCTGTGCCGCCCTGGTGAAACGCAGCTGATTTGACCATTAAAGTGCATTTTTTAAAGGAAAAGTTAAACTGAGACACCTTTGCTATGATTTCCAGCAAACAAATAATTGTTTTTAAGTGTTAATCTTGTAAAATTCTTGTTAAAGTCCTCCGTGCACGCTCCCGCGGCCACCATTTGGCAGCCAATCGATTTTTGGCACAACACCGGCCCATGTTTTCGGGTTGTCAGCGGTGATGCATAATAGATGCAACGTATACGGCGAAGCGACATATTTATGTTTTTCCCACTTTATTAAACACATTTTGACTGATGCGACTTATACGAGGTGCGACGTTTACGGTAGATGCCACAGTTGCCCTAGAACCCATCCTAAGAGAGCATAAAGTGCCTGTAGCTAAAGGGTCTTCATTACATGCAGATTAATATAAACTGAAAACTTAAAATTTGCTTCTGTTTTCATAAAAAGATGCTCACTAACCCTTACTACAGATATAGAATAAATAAAACATAAATAAGTTGAGCTTTTGGGCACCTGCAGGTTTTTCATGCTCACCAGAAGTGATGCCCAGACTGTCGGCTTTCTCTTTGCCAACTTTCAGCATCTCCTTGTTGATGTCACAGACCACAGCCTTGGACTGTGGTGGTCCATCCTCTGAGGCGTAACCGTCCTGCCACAGTGGAGTCTGGCTGGACTGCGCCGCTCGCAGCTTCTTCCTCTCTTGCTGATAACGAACGTAGTTCAGGAAACGGAAAGCAATGTCGCCTGCAGGGGGAGGATCAACGCAGCACAAATGTAACTGATCCCAGTGGAGGTTTGGCCGTGTGATCGGCAGGAGTGCACACGAACTGTTTTACCTGTTCCACCTGCCACGTCCAGGAGCCGAGCGCCGGGCTGAGGGTGCATGGCGTGCAGCAGCATGTCCTTCCACAGGCGATGGATCCCCAGACTCATGGCATCATTCATAACGTCGTACTTCTGAGCAACATTCTCAAACACCTTATACACTGAAAAGACAAACACGACCTGGAATTTAACCGTTTTCAGACATAATCAAACTGGTGTGTTGACCAACGTACTGACCCCAGGGCAGAACAGCCCAACACAGATCTCAAACCTAATCTGGCATGCGAGTCAGCGAAAAGAACCGGCTGGCAACATGATTTAAAACAGGTCTGCCACAAGTAACTCCTCAGCTCCTCTCAAATGTCTTCTTGTAACTTCAACCGACACCGACAACAACCTGAGAGATATTTCAACTCGACAATGGGTCATTTCAGATTCGTGCAGTTTGTGTGTGATACTTCTGCAGCAGAACGACGGGGACTCCTCCAGGTGTTGGGCTGCCTGTGTGAACTCATTTCTTAACAGAAATCAGTTAATATAAAGTCTCTGTGTACACGGCTTGAGTTTCACGTTTAAAATGCAGTAACTCATTTTATTTGAGGACATAGTTAAGTTCAAAATATGCAACAAATTGTTTTATTTGTTATGTTCACATTTTTAGGGACATTAAGATGAAACTGCAATCCTAGCTGTAACAATTAATCTACTCATATAGTAAAGAATGAAACTAGTAGTTCAATACTATTTTCTTGTGCAGAAGTATACAATTTAACTTGTTTTTCTTTGTACTTAACATATCCAAAAAAATCTAATCCCAAATGAGATATATTTATAGTATATACAATATATAAAAATACTTTTTATAAAATGTTTAATCTCAATCATGGTTCTCAAATTTTAATATTATTAAACTTGGCAAACATAGAACCCAGCAAAAAATAGCCTAATTAATTTGCCCACTACTTTCACGTTACAACGGCATAAGAATCATCATAAAGGGCTGAGACATTTATAGTATAGTCTAGTATTATATTATAGGTGTAGTAGTATAGTCTAGTA